AAACGGAGAACGTAACAATTATTTTTGAAGTTAATTTAATTAATCACGTATTGCTTCTTTTCGTCGAAACAAATATTACAATCTACGTTATAAGGATCTATTTGTTTTATAGGCTAATACTGTGGTCGTGGGTAATAGAGACCTCAAAACAGTTCAATTTGATGTTAAAATTTTGGTTATAAAAAAAGAGGAAATTTTACGGCTTATTTCGAGCCTAAAATTATCTATTTCAGACAGAATCATATCAGAAAGTCATTTACAAATTCTCATTAAACTTATACTGACAATTATGACATTCCACCTGTGGATTTATACTGAGTAATGCCCCAATTTTTCAGAAATTTAATAGCTTTTTTGTCTAAAGCATGTATAATATGCAGGATCATATGCTTATGAACAATAACCACTGTATAAAAACGTAATAATGAAAGTTAGATAACAAACGTTTCAGTTTCTTAAGTTTGTTAAAAAAAAACGTTATTTTGTATTAATATAGGTTTAAGGATCACAACCACGCGTCTAAAAAGAAAGGAGAAATTTTGATCTAATAATAACTCTGAATCGTTATCATATTAACTTTGCAGGTGTAGATATAAAAAAAAATCTGTGATTTCATAAGATCGAGGCACTTTCATTTTTAAAATGATAAACAGGACCATCAGACCATAACCATAATTAACTTCATGCCATCTATCTTGTGGGTGGATATTATGTTTTGGTTCTACACTGTCAAAACTGTACTTCGTTCGTTGAGCCTTTTTCTCCTTGACCCCGAGGTGAACCGTGAGTATGTGCTTTTAGTCATCTTAGCCAATAAGCACACGTTTGAGATCCGCTAGCTTGATGCTGACACGCCTTACTTCGAGATCACGAAAATCGTGCCAGTTCGCTGTCCCATGTAGATAGGGACTTCTATTTAGTTCGAAAAAATATTATTTTATGTTTCAGTTACACAGTATTAACTGTTTTCTTTTCAAACAACTCTATATTTATTATATTTAATTGCAAAATACATAAAATACACTCTTTTTTTTAAACATTTACTAGTAAGACAAATATATAAAGTGGTTTAATTGGTGTGGTTCCCTTATTAGCATTCCCACGTTATCCTGTTAAACGACTCTATTTCCCCTATCCCTCTCGAGCCTCAGGGAGTTACTATCATCCTTCATGGTTGAGTCGTGGCAGCAATGTGAATTATGTTGTAAGTAGTGTGGTACGTTCGCTGGACAGGCCGATGATGTTCTTAGTTATGTGTACGAAGTTGCATTCTGCAGTTGTATTTTAGCTAGCAATAGAAAGTTTTAAAACATATGTCAATCGATGTACTAGTATTCCTCGAGAAACTAGAGGAATACTATTTCAATTCAGAATGTTTCTTCTAAAACAGTTCTAAGAACTGCGTAGACGTTGAATTTCTTCGTAAATCTGACTAACAAGGCCATCTTGTGACAAGAGAACGAATCGGCTGACACTATCCAACCAGCAACCTACGTACAAACCTTGTCGCACTACTAAATGCTTCTTTCCATCCTGAACATTCTAATGGATTAACTATGAACTAAAAGTTCGTTACTTAATATACTTTTTCATGACCCGTTTTTTTTCACAGGTATGTTTACCTTTTTGTGGTCTTAAAAAGTATTATTGTAACCTCATTACTCTTAGCTAAACTTAAGTATAATTAAGATAATTTTCTAGCATGGCTGTCGTTATTGTTAGCAAAATAATATATACGGTGTGAAACGATTTCCATAAAAATACCATATTTTCGTGTAAATAGGATTAGAATTTGAAAGGTTTGGCCTCTAGACTAGAGTCTAGATTACCGTATTAAGATAGCTTTCGAGTTCGAAAGACGAAAATATACACTTTTCATCAGCTAAGAATCCGTCCAGATTTTTCAGTGAGTTCTAAGTATATAAAGTTAGTTCACATTTGTTATCGGTCAAAGCAACGATTTTCAGTGTTGGAAACAAAATGAAATATCAACAATACTTAATATTTTTGTGATTATAATATGATTTTGTTGTAAGGCAAATTATATGATTACAGTTTTAATATAGCCGAATGCAAAGAGATTATTTACATATAACTTGACTAAACTGATTTAAAATACATTTTTGCGCAGGATTACATATTGTGTTAGCGATAAAATTGCTATACTTGTGCTTGCCAGATTTCTGTGCAGTAAATTTATCATATATGGCAGTATTTTACGCATTAACATACTTTTTCTCAAACAAACGAAAATATTTTAAGATTACTTCACTTGCTGATATTTGTGTGTGGGCGTATATGCATAACTTAGAAAATCGCTGGAAAGCCATTTATTAGTCTTGAATGTAGCATTATATATATATATATATAAGAAATAAAACTTGCATAGTAAATGAAACTTGCTTCGTGTGTGTTTGTATAAATATAAATATTGCGAATTCCAAGGACTATATTGTAACTAAATAGATCAAAATAGTTAAAATTTTATAAAGAAATGAAATCTATACATTTTGTAGTGTTTGCACCTTGGAGGTTTGATTTGTTTGCTGTTAAGCGCGAAGCTACACAATGAGTTATCTGTGCTCTGCCTACCACGGGTATCAAAACACGAATTTTAGCTTCATAAGCCTTCATACTTACCTCAGAGCACCAGAAAGGCAGTTTTGGAAGTCACAAACTATATAAGGTATAAGTAATTTAGTTAATGTGAGTTTGATATCTTTTTAGTTGATTAATTTTACTTAGAGTACAACAACCAGAAGTGTATGTGTAAAGGTATATAGTTTAAACTGGGATTGTCAGCTAATTAGATACGAATAACATTTTTTAAGAATTATCTTGGAAATTGTGAGACTGAGATGTATAGGAATATTAAGGTAGGAAATAAAGATGTGTTCAACGTTGTTAAAAGTTTTATAAAAACAGAACTTATAATGTATATGTCTTTTTTGTTTGAGTGTTTTGGCATAGAGCTATACCATTGGCCATCTATCTGTGCTCTGTAACGAGAAACCCAACACTGGATTTTAGCGCATTAAGTCTATAAACTTACCGCTAATCCACTGGGGGACAGAACGCATGTCACTAGTTTGCTTTATTGTTTATTAAAGAGAAAAATAAAACGAGATTAAGTATGGTATAGCTACTTCTGTACTTCTGAACTGATAAAGCTCGAAATCCACTCATGATGTTAGTTAGGAAAACAGATGGGCTCAATAATCAATTTAACACAAAAAACACGAAACCCTATAACCCGAGCGCTTTCGAAAGATGGACTATCTTGAAATCCAATATTTTTTCATCTAGATTGTTACATTCATGTCATGGTGGTTATCTACTCAAAGTAGTTAATCATTGTATATTCAGTATCAGAATGGTTGAAATAATTATTTGAAAATAAGGTTATTTTCTAATGAAATTAAGACAAAAAATGTTATTTCCAGGATCAGTGTATCCACTTTGAAAATCATATATTTCAATACGTAAGAATACCCACCAATTTACACATCTGCAGAGTCTTTAAATGTATTGATCATTTGCTATCTAGATAGTTTCTATTCAGATTATTTAGTGAGGTTTGTCTCACATGTCTGTGTACTAATTGTTTTGTATTGGAAAAATAAACTTTTCATATGAAAACAACTAACTGAGTAGTTGTACATGCATGTAAACTCTTAAAATATTTTTAGATTGGTTTTTATTTCATTTTGTCATTTAATGCTGAAATGTTTCATAAAAACATAAGGCTATATTTGTTATTGTTATTTTTTAAGTATTTTCATATAGATAACTGGAAAACTGAATTATTTTACCGGTTTTTTTACAACTATTAATCAATTAACAACAGTATTGTCATGCGTATTCTGTTTGTTTGTTTGCAGTTAAGCATAAGTTTACACAATAAGCTATCTGTACTGTGCCCACCTCGAGTACCAAAACCCAGTTTTTAACGTTGTATGTCCACAGACTTACCGCTGAGTCACTGGGGTCCATGCATATTCACTTAATTAGCTTGATGTCCCCCAATACCTTAGACACTTTGGCTGAAGACTACTACCTAATAATTTCATATAAAATTTAAATAATAATCACTTGAGGTACCTTAGCCTAATTACAATTTATTATTTGAAAAACAAGAATCTCAAGCACTAACACTGCTATATCGTACCTCAGCCTACCTGATGACTTCCAGTATTGAGCGAAAGACATCATCGGCACTGGATATAGCAAATATAGTGTAGTTGACATATTATTATATTCTTCTTTACTTTCATTCATAATTACTAATGTAGTCTTCTCCCGTTGACACATAATTAAGATGTGTAACGATTTGAACAAAATTGATAAACATTACAAGCCAAATCGAATCGAATAACAGTCGACCATTTTGAATCAAACATTAGAAAACATGAAGAAGATATTGAAATAGTAAAATGTATGAAGTAGAGACAATATAGTGACTGACTATATTGTTCCCTTTTCTAGAAATAATATGCATGGGTTTGTTTTTGATTTAACCAGCCTGTTTGTATTGTATTATGTGAATGACTTAGAAATGCAATCCAACGTATACGACTCACACCTGTCGTAAGTCACGTGACACATAAGAACTGTCGTAATTACTCAATGTAATTGGATATTTAACCATTTAAAGGTTTGTTTGTGTGCTTAGGGGCAAACCTTCTTACTCAAAATATTATTATTTCTATTTCTGAATGGAAATTATTACTGATTTTTTTAAATCGATTTATGTGGGAAATCAAATCGGATTCTGTTATCCGAGTAATCGTCACAGTCCTAGTATATCGTATCCAAGCCGGCCTGATGATTCTTGTCATTTGCGAAAGACCCCGTCGGCACTGCCTATACATATACAGTGTGGTTGACATATTTCACCATTCTTCTTTACTTTTATCCATAAGTTTTTAGAACAAATAAAGCTCGCTGGTAACATTATTTTTTATAAGCTGTCAGAGAAGTTTTAAAGAGGATATTTTAACATGCGCTGAAATCCCCCTGAGATCGCATTGCGGACCGCAGTTTGGTGAACCCATTGCAAATGACTTCAACCGTCTTTCAATGACATTTAGAGTGTGTTGAACTTTTCTTGTTTTATTTAGATAAAAGATAAATTAAGTTATCGTATTGATGAGGAAGATATCATTTAAAGGTCTAAGTTTGTTGTTCTTCAAAATACAAAGCCTTGGTGACCACTAAAAAGGGTAGATTATATTCAGTGCATTTGATGGTTTTTGTTGTTTATTTTAGGGCAGAGCCACATGGGGATATCTGCTGTGCCCACCGCAGGGAATCGAACTTTGGATTTTAGCTTTGTAAGTCTGTAAACTTACCGCTGACCCACCGGAGATATTACAGCTTGTCATATAGAAATGAAGGTACTTTTATGCTCGCCTATGAAGCAAAAGGTTATCAAGTTTTCCACATTTTTATATTTTCGAGTAACAAAATTCCCTGTGGACCTTAATAATGGTAAACATGCTGATGGAAGGTAAAGGGAAAGCATTTAGATAGATGTGAATCGTAACATAAATTTTCTGGTACTATTAATGATAAGTTAAACAAAATTTTCAAGTTCTGATAGCGATATCACAAAACTTCTTATTTTAAAATTTTGTTCAGCTGTAAATTACAACTTTCTTAATTTAGTCGATGCCATGGATTTTTTTTTTTCTTTTCAGAGAGATTTCAGTTGGATAATCACCACTAATATTTCTTTTAAATGGGAATTCCCTCCAAAAGGTCGTAGTATATCATTTTGATCAAAAACTTAAATTATACAAAATGTCAATTTTATGCATAGCCACTTCCCTCAGTGGGTCAGCGGTACGATAACGGATTATAACGGTATATTATATATAGTACAGTGTTTCAATTCCTCATGGTTGACGGAACGTACATAGTCTATTATTTAGCTTTGCGCTAAAACAACAAACATGCATAGTCACATCGTACAAAAATAGTCGACGTAGCTTTTTCGCAAATGACAAAGAACCCATGCGATTGGAAATAACTTGAGGATTACAGAATCAAACCAACTATTTTTGAAAAGTCCAAGCAAAGTTACATTACACATTTGAAGGCCTATATCAAGAAATGTCTACTTCCATCAATAAAGAAAGGCAGACTCACTTTAGTATTAAAACAAAGGGAAGATTGTAAACAACTGAATACTTACTAACACATATTTTAAACTTGGAATTATTCGAGATACAATTTTAAAAGGAATTTAATATTATTTATTTTAAGGACTTATTAGTTTTATTTTTCATTGTAGTTAATCTGTATACATTGAGTTTGGTTTCGGCTTTTTAACATTTTCTGTTACAAACATATTAATGATGACCTTTCATATGACATAGCTGTTGCAAAAGATAATCACTCCATGACACAACTTTAACATTTTAACAAGCATTAGCTTAAATTTCCAAATAATTCTAACATACTCAAAGTACATTTAAGTTATATGCACACTCATAAAAACAACAACAACATTAAATACGATTTTTCAGATAAATACATTCCTACAATCAAAATTATTAACACAGTCCTGCGATGGTTTTCTTGACTGGTAATTTTTACATGTTCTACAGT